TCGCAATTCCGCTGAACACCCCAGCGACAAAGCCGCGGTAGTGCTTGGGAGACTTCTTCGGCTCATCAGAGGTAGCTATTAGCGCGGTGGCCGCCGGCTGTGAGTCGCTTGTTTTCAGGTTCAGGGCTGAGGTAGCCATTGTCGCGTCGCTGTTCTCCGGTACAATATCGGAATCATGCCTCCCGACCAAGAAAAAGCACAAAAGGCATGCAACACGTCAAGAAGATCACGAAGAAACGAAGATTGGGGAGAAGCAGGGCCGTCGAACAACTCAAACCATTATTCTCGGTGGAATTGTCAGCAGCGGTCAGTAGGCAACTTGCAGGTTCCGCATATCGGAAACGTACAAGCGCCCGCGATGTGGTGACGATGTCGACAGGGCCGAGAGATCGGTGTTCGGACCCCCGAAGTCGCGTTTTAGTGCCTTCCAAGGCTGTCTCTCCAGGGCTGGACCCTTGAGATTGGCTTGCCAGATTGGTACGATGGTTCCTTCATAGACCTTAGCGGCTGCCCCTCCATATGCACTTGCGATCGCGTGCGACCGAGCATGGCGCGATTTGATCTTTCTGTTGCTAATCAACTACTAACGTTGCTTTCACTAACTACTCTGTATACCTTCTGATAACTTTGCTGGCGCGCGCGCATTCGATACACGTGTTCTAGGTAACTATGTCGGCGACTACGAGTGCGACGACGGCGCCCGCTGCGGGTGTAGAGTCGAAGAAAGGTATGTTGGATGTTTGGCGGGGCGCGTTTGGAAGAGCTGTACTGACATCGGCGCAGTATGGACGACTCTCATCACCAACACGGCATACCTCACCGGCCTCCTTACCCTCGACTACTCGCTCAAGAAACACGGCACGAAGTACCCTCTCATCGCTCTGTACACGGATACCTTCCCCGAAGAAGGCCACAAGGCGCTCGATGAGCGCGGCATACCGAAACAGCATGTCAAGTACCTGCTGCCAATCAAGTCCAAGGACTTCACCGCAGACCCGCGCTTCTACGACTGCTGGAGCAAGCTTACGCCCTTCTCGTTGGAGGAGTATGATAGGGTGGTACAGCTAGACAGCGACATGTTGGTCTTGCAGAACATGGACGAGCTCATGGACTTGGAGCTGGACGCACCGAGTACAGGCGGCAAGGGTAACAGAGTGTTTGCAGCGAGCCACGCGTGCGTGTGCAATCCGCTCAAGAAGCCGCATTACCCCAAGGACTGGTATGTCTCTTCCCTTATGCATGCATATGATATGTAGACTAACACACCTCTAGGATACCAGAGAACTGCGCCTTCACAACCCAACACGCCGACCCTACCACCGCCCAACACACGGGCGCCCCCTCAACCGCCGGCCTCCGTATGCCCAACGGCGGCCTCCAAGTCGTAAACCCCTCGCTCGCAACCTACAACCTGATCCTCGAGCAGCTCTCCAACGAGGCATCCGGCGACTACGACTTCGCCGACCAATCGCTGCTGGGCGATTTGTTCAACGGTCGCTGGGTCACGCTGCCGTATACGTACAATGCGCTCAAGACGCTGAGGAATAAGGGTGTGCATGATGTAATCTGGAGGGACGAGAATGTTAAGAATATACACTATATTCTTAGTCCGAAGCCTTGGGAAGAGGAGGATGGGAAGTCAACGTGGGAGACGCATCAGTGGTGGTGGGATGTTAATAACGAGAGGAGGAAGGAGGAGAAGAGCCGGGGGATTGATGATGGGTTCTAAGCTCTCACGATGTAGTGGGGTCGTTGCATAGTGGTCGGCGTAGAGGTGTAGAGTAGTATGTGATACTTGGGCGAGCATCTTACGAGAAGCCCTGGAGGCGTTGCATAGTGGTGGGGTAGGGAGAATAATGCCCTGCATAAAAAGTATTTGGCAGCCATGAAGGAAGAATACATTCCATCCAATGAAGATTGCGTTCCGATTATTGAACAGCTCATGTATTGCTTGCGAACACCTTCCTTTTCGGTAGCACGGCTTTCTACACGATGTTTTTCAAGTTTCCTTTAGGCTTGGCGCCAGGGTTCCTCCCCGATTCAGTAATCCCTCAAGCTCGGTAGTTATGCTTCTTTCAACACATGGTCCGCACGGTGTACCACGTCATGGTGGACGGTACTAACCCGGCATGGCCAGTGTACAGGCCTTGTGAAGAACTATTCGTAACGCGGACCAACATTTGACTATAGCAGTCATGCTCGGGCAGTGGGAGGGACGATTCGAGCAACCAGTCGCAGAAAACTTCTTGCATCGGCTTATTTCGCCCGAGATATCAGGCCTCGACGATATTTGAGCCGGCTATAGCAGAGACTAAATCCCGAAGGAGGGCTAGCCAAACGGGAAGATCGGAATACGTCACGGTAACGCCGTGTGTACAGGCAAGATGCAGTGAGTGAACTGCTGCCAGTTCCCACGCGAACGGCGCAGACCCCACGGCTTCATCAATCTCAGGAGTAGCGCCGCGTACCTGCGTTTGCCGGCATTCGGTGAATCGAACGGCGGCGGCAAAGTCACACGGCAGGAAAGGCTGCTGGAAACTATATGGCTAGCTGCAGCTATCGTGCAGCCAACGCGCATGCAGATGCAGCGAGTAACGCATGCGGAGACCCTTTGCTTCATCTTAGCCAAGATTCGCAATCAAAGGGCGTTGTCGAGCTGTGAGCCCCTTTTCGCCGACTGAGGCAAAAGCAGGAGAGGCGGTGATGGAGGTGTGTGGTTGGCGTGTAGGATGAACCCGTCACGATCAAGCCGTTGGGCGGAGCACAGACGTTTGGCAGCTGCGATCTGCAACGCGCCTGCTGCGGTTTCACTCCTGAGCAGCGTGAAACCTCATTTCATGAACAGCGCCAGCGCCCACGCGAGACCCTGTCCCGAGTCGCTACACATTTGCATCTCCTGTGCCGTCTACATCTTGACGTCTTCTCCCACACACGACCGCCATTGAATCTCACCGACACGCCTTATCACGCCCGACCGCCTGCCGTCTACCGTCCTCCGTCGCGCGCACTAGCTATAGCTCGCTTTCGCCGATATACCGCCCACTCTACACCACCACACGATCCATAACGCGTAAATCAGCACCATGGGGGGCTCAATATCCAAGATGATGGCCAAGGTCTTCGGCTCCAAGGAGATGCGCCTGCTGATGCTGGGCCTCGACGCCGCCGGAAAGACCAGTACGCACCACCATCACACCACATACACTGTCGCTAACTCCCTCAGCCATCCTCTACAAGCTCAAGCTCGACCAGGATGTCACCACCATCCCCACCGTCGGCTTCAACGTGGAGACCGTCACATACAAGAACACTAAATTCAACGTCTGGGACGTCGGCGGCCAGGACAAGATCCGTCCCCTCTGGAGACACTACTTCTCTGGTATGTTGGGCCGCGGAGGCACGGTTCCGGGTAGGCGAGTCGACATGCACGCGACTGCATGCGCATGGCTTCTACCTCACCCGGCTCCTGCTGATATCTCCCATTGAACAACGTGGCTAATCGCAATCGCAGGCACCCAAGGTCTCATCTTCGTCATCGACTCCAACGACCGCACCCGCATCGACGAGGCCAAGCAGGAACTCACAAGGATTATCCAGGACCGAGAAATGAAGGATGCACTGTTGCTGGTGTTTGCGAACAAGCAGGATCTCAGCGGAGGTGCGTAGACAATAATTTACAGTGTGAGGGATATCGGGCTGACACGATATAGCTATGCGACCAAAGGAAGTCTCGGACCGTCTGCAATTAGACAAGATCGCCAAAGACCACGTATGGAAGGTGGAGCCCAGCTGCGCGACAACAGGAGAGGGTATCTTTGAGGGATTGGTACGTTCAAAGTCTTCAAACCTTGGCATCCACATGAACTAACACCTCCGCAGGCCTGGCTCTCCAACAACGTCAAGCTACCACCCGGCGCCAAATAAACGTCTTCCTACCCACCGCGATCCGCGCATCCCCGTCCCTCTCTCACACACTGTCCGCGATACCTGAACGACTTGCATGCTCTTCCCTGCATATACCCGGTTTTGTCCTCTTTACTTAATGTCGCACTTACTCTTATCGTCTTGTAATCTTCTTAATTGGGACTTGTACATTAGATATGTACAAATCTTTTTTTTGTCTTGTGTGTAGATCTTTTTCCTGTTGTGGTCCGAAGATGGGTGCCTGGCTGGGCTGACTGGTTGGTTGGCTGGTTGGGCTGTCTATAAGTAAGCGATACTGATATTACCTCTGTCTGTGTGTGTTTTGAGGTGGTGGTGTGGATGGTGATGTGGAGTTTCTTGACGTCTAACATCTAGGTTTACGACTCCGATGCTGCAGCTGGGCGGCGACTTCCAACTCCAGTGCTCCTTCCTTCCTCGTCACTTCCGCTTCCTTTCCCCGCACTCGTCGACTACAGATGTTCCAACCCCACGCCGCTCACATTTCCTCGTTACGATCACAGCCCACTCGAGTTCCTTCGCAATCACAGGCGCTTGCTGTGTTCAAAGCAATGGATGTGGACGCGTTGGAGCACACTACACAAGCAATCCTTGATGCATCGCTTTCATCGAGGTGAGTCGCGTTCTCGACAACCCTAACGTTCGTCACTGAGCAAGAGCTAATCGTGGGATTGACATACATGGCAATGAGCTTGTGCACCAGATTGGTCTAGCTGCAAGTGATCCTGAAGTCGCTTCACTGAAGTTTAACACTGGCTTGTTAGGTTTGCGACATGTTGAGACATCACGACTTGTTTGGGGGATCTCTTTGTTGTTGGAAACTGCCGCCCAAACTCGATTGCGTCGGCTTGTCGTAGAGCGCTAGCAAGCAATGAGACACACTCGTGGATGGGTATATGAAGACGCTGGAGAACAGCGTTGAGACAGACACCAGCGAACGCAGCTGATACCTCGTCTAGCTACGCACGACAGGAATACAGTCTAGGCTTTCGCAACACTCTCATCGATTCCCTTCGTTGCTCACAACCACGGGTTCTTACCCTATCAACACCGCAGCCATGGCTCCGTTGATGCTCCCAGGCTCGACCCAGAAAGCTATCGATACCGCACTTGACGATACCAACACATGTGGAAGATGCGGTAGTACAAGCCATGGGCTGTCCAACTGCCCTGCTAACGCGAATACTGGCAAGAAGGGTCATGTGTGGACAAATATAGGTCCAGGAGCTATACTCGCCGCTGATCAGTACCTGAAGAGCCATGCCAAGTACAAGTATGTCGCTCCTGCGCCTGTCCAGAAGAAGATGACTCAAGCACCACTGAACCCTACACCATCGAAACAGGCGCCATCGAAACAGGCGCCATCGAAACAGGCACCATCGACACAGGCACCATCGAAACAGGCATCATCGAAACAGGCACCGAAGTACGTCCGCGGTCCCGACTACTCTAATACTACCACGGGAACCGATATGTACTATCCCAACGAGGAAGCTCAGGACCTAGGCCCTACCAATACCGGAAGAGCGTGGAGTCCTTCAGTGGAATTGCTGGACAGAACGGAAACTCTCAAAATTCAAAACCCAGACTTTGCACTTCGTCAGAACTTCTTCGACAATCCAGCTGATGAGAGAATCTTGACAAATCACTTCGAATACAGCATCGACGATGGCACGACTTTTTACGAATACAAGATCCTGGATCTGGATACTAAGAACCGCAAGAAGTTGAGGGCCCTCATCAAGAAAGCTATTGAAGAGTGGAACTTTCTGAAAGTGAATCAGACATCTTTCGCGACGAACTACATCGATACCATCGTGTCCTGGAAGCCTTTGCATCTCGAGCTTGAGAAAGGTGAGGAGCTTAAGGATGACGGCATCTATGAGTGGGGCAGGACCATTACCGTCGGCGACATGAAGCAAGCTCTTCGTTTTCGCTTCGTCAAACCAATTCCAGTCCACGACCTTACACGATACGCAGCTGCTGATCCCAGCTACGAGAACACCAACTTTGACGATATCGCTAAGTGCCTGAATCTTGTCATCTCCAAGAGTTTCAATGATGAAGTACATAAGCTCTCCGCCAACAAGTTCTTCGTGAAGAAAGCGCGCGTCCCACTGAGAGCCGATTTCAGCATCTCTGACTCGCTTGAGATCATTCGCGGCTACTTCTACAGCGTCAAGCCCGGAATGGGTAATATCGTCCTGAACTTCAACATTTCAACCAGCGCGGTCTTCCGACCAGTCAATGTTGCCGACTTTGTGAACGATAACCATACATTCGACAAAGATATGGCAGCGAAGGTTCTGATTGGTCGAAATGTCTACGTGGACCACGATCGCATCGACCCAGATCCGGAGAAGGAGAGCCACCTGAACAGTGAGGACTCTCGTTACTGGAAAGTATTCGAACTTCAAAACGGCAATATCGAGGACCTGAGTTTCAGAAAGAAGAAGCTGGACCAGAACGGCAAGTTTATCATGAGGGCAGATAAATCTTACGAGATGGAGACGAATGATACTTTTGTGGTTGATCATTTGGCCAAAGGTAAGTCTTCATTTCGATAAGTATAACTTTCCGCTGACGCAGGTAGTGTTCGGTACATCTCCTGTCACTGGACGACCAGCAGTGAATGTTGGCTCACGTCAGCATCCAATATGGTATGCCCAAGAGCATCTACGTATCGTACCTTATCAGCCATACACCCGACCAGTGCCCGACCAGTACACATCTTCAATGGTTGACGAGGCCTGTCGAGATCCGGAAATCAGCCGAGCGTACATCGAGAATGAAGGGCTCCGTAGCCTTGGCTTCACGACGAGCGGTGATTCGTTTTCCTTCGTGAGTACAAAGATACACTTCGAAAGGAGTTCAACTGATATGACCATAGGCAAAAATCCCTCTTCGACTCCATCCGACCATGCTTCAGGTCCCGCGATTGGTGCTTCCCTACCCCACCCCGATCTATCGACGAAAGAACGACTCTACTGTTCAAGCAATGAGTACTTCTCGCTGGAAATGGCCTCAGGGCGCTGGCTCGAAATTCTACACAACGATACCTCAAGTTCTCAACTACACCGTCATCGCGGCTCCGGGCTGTAGCCCAACATCACCGGGCTGGTATGCCAAAGAGCTCGTACCTCATTTCGTTAAGTGCGGCATCTCCGAAGACCAAGTTCGACATATCGATGATAAACAGATGCAACCTTTCCTTCGATCACTAAGCGAGACTGATATTCAGTCCAAAGTCAGCGAAGCCTCGTCACTCGGTGCTAAAGTCGTCATCTTGATTCTTCCCAAATACAACCTGACGACCTATCGAGACTTCAAAAGTGTTGCGGATCGAGTGGTCGGTATACAGTCCTTCTGTCTGGTTGAGAACTGGCGTCCCGCCCAGCAAGAACTGATGACGAACGTCATGATGAAGCTCAATCTCAAACTTGGAGGTATCAACCACATAGTGAACGCCGTCAAGACTAGACTCCAGACACACACTATGGTCCTCGGGGCTGATCTAATCCACCCATCTCCCAACGCCTTCCCCGGTACGCCATCTATTGCATCAATGGTCGGCTCAGTGGATGATCATGCCGGAAAGTGCCTTGGATCTATGCGCCTACAAAGCATCGACAAGACAGACCGCGAGGTGAGTATTACAAGCAGCTGCGCTTGTTGAGTTCCTGCTGACCATGACAGATCATGGACTATAGCTCAGTAGTAGACATGGTCACTGAACGACTTAGTGCATGGGCTGCTGTCCATAACTCGTCAAAGGACCGCCTGCCTTCCAACATCATCTATTATCGAGACGGAGTGTCATCGGGACATTACCCCAAAGTGCAAGAGACGGAACTGAAAGCCATCCGCGACGCATACAACACTAAGCGTGCAAGTCTAGGCTTGAAGGAACGGTGGCTGAATCTCACTGCGGTCATCGTAACCAAACGCCACCACACTCGCTTTTACCCCATCGAAGAGGCAGACAAAGACAAATGGGGCAACCAAAACTGTACACCTGGCACTTGTGTCGACAAGCTAGTCACTTCGCCATACTACCAGGACTTCTACCTGCAATCTCACAGCGGTATCAAGGGCACTGCTCGACCTACGCATTACTTCGTTCTCGAAGACGGCATTCCCGGTCTGACTCTAGAACATCTCCGTGATCTAGTAAGTGCCACCCTTCATTCGTCATGTACCATGCTGACCTCATCTAGACGCACAGCCTATGCTACTCCTACGTCCGATCCATGACCCCCGTATCCTACGTCTCCCCCACATACTACGCTGATAGGTTGTGCGAACGTGGCCGCCTCTACATCCGCAAGTACTTCAACGGCGACGACCAGACTCTCTGGAATGACCTCAACATTTTCAAGAGCGATCTCGAGAAAGACCTCAGAGAAGCCAGAGAGAGGAAATTCGGCAAGGCGCAGCACCGCCGCAAGGAGAAGGCAGAGAAGAACATTGAGAAGACGCATGCTGAGAAGGTGGCGAAGGATACCAAGATGTTCGTCTTCAAGAGGGTGGCGACGGACTTCTATCGTAATTGGAATGAGCAGGAGCCGGAAAAGAGTGTCGGAAACCCTTGGGCAGACACTATTGCTGACACGATGTTCTGGATGTGAGATGATGGCTCACTGGGGATGAACTGGTTCTGGTTTCGGATCCTGGCTGCGCAAGGGTTCGGCGCGGCATTTTGTCATATTGTCTCTTTTCCTTCGTCTTGTTATCTTTTGTGGATTTTCCTTATTTCATTTCGTCTGCTCTTTCGTCGCGGTTTCCTAGATCGTTGTCATAGACTCTGCTTTCTGTACTCAATAAACTGTCAACCCACAAACCCATTGCAACTCCCCACAAGACTCACATCTCGCAAGCATGGCCCATGCCCTCTTAAAGCATTGATACGTACACATGAGTTGATCCTAATGTCTACCGATGTAGCTGCTCGGTGGTGTTGCGCCTTCATCCACCTGCCTCTGCCAGATGCTAGTGCGATGACGTCATCATCTGCCACACAATCTCCATCCCAGTTGCTCCATGACTCCTACGTAACCCTTTACACCACGCACATCGCTCGTCAAATGATAAAGCCTAGCTTCAAATGAGCTGACTTGTCTGATTGACGCTATGCAACAATATGAGACTGCGAAACGTTCTCACGGCCGCCTCTTGCCGCATCTACTCGACACATGGGTACCGAGCTTATGGCGCACCTACCTTGGGAGAACATGGAGCCATGCTTGAAGCTTATGCAACCCAGAGACGAAGTTCAAGAAGTTCAACATGGTAATTATGATAGCGGAGCGCGCGTTGAAGCGCTGCTTCCATGAACGATACGATCGGACTTTGCTCCTGGATACAAGGTCACCGCCTTTCTGCTCTTTCCAGGTTTGCCGCTTGAGCATACACATACTCCTTTTATCAAGGCCGCTCAATGTCATTTCGCAAGTCACCTGCTGCGTCAAAAAGTCTGCGAGTAGGTGTAGGCGTCTTCTTCTGCTAGCTCTCTATTCTCTAGTCAACCAGCTCTTCCCGTCTGGAGCGACGATACTCAGACTCTCCAATCATTGGATACGCATGTATCAGTATCGACCTCACTCATGTGCGATCTGTCGCGGGGGTTGAAATCGAGCGTTCTGCGCTTGCTACCAAACCTTTTTCGACAAGCACACCATCACTGGACGTGTCTGAAATCAGGACTTTGCTCGCGGTTGCGTAGACTACATTCAGTTGTCGGTTGTGAGGGGAAAGCTTTACCAGATTGGCCATCGCCGACGCTTGGGATTTACTACAGCGGGCAAGGCAACACACGATGCACCAAGTCCACACAAGCCCAGAGAAGACAGCTTTGCCTACTAAGGATGCTGTAGCCTGATGACTCTCGACAAAGTATCAGCTAAGACGGCAATCGAAAAGTCCGATACTGCAAGCGGCGTTGTAGCAAGCATATCACAGGCAGTATCTATACACGGCCAAGATTGCTTTCCCGACATGACTGTGCGTGTACCAAGCCTGCGCGAGTAGCAATCTTCACATTTGAAGTATAATAACGGTCTCCATTCCGCTGAGTATCACTGTCATCATCGAGTACCACTCATCTCAGCATGGTCCGTAATAAGAACGGCAAAGGCAGAGGCTATGACAACCCCAAAGCTGAGCACAATGCGATCAGTGCCAAAGAAAAACGGCACATCGAGAACAATACCGCGAACTTCATTATCTATCCATCCATGAAGGACGACTACTGGGCTTCGCTCGACCGTCTCAAGAGACCAGCTGCCAATGAATTCTACAAAGACTTGATACGCTACGGCGACTATCCCGGTGGCCCCAAAGATCCCAACAAAGCGGAAGCTCCTTGGCCGAACAAGCCGGCTGCTACGATAGAGAACCCCGATACGAATCATTCTGGTCATGATACTCAGGCGCAAGGTATTGGAGCTAAGATAGTTTCTTTCGGTCATGTATCCAGCACGTCTGCGGACAGCGAGAGCAGCACCCCTGGAGCCGAAGCATCCAACGAAGACACCATATTGGAGGGCGCGAATGAAGCAAATGTCGCCAGCACAGTCAGCATCAATCGGCCATCGCGAGAAATCAGCAAGATTCAGTCCATCCCGCGTGCCAGTCTTCAAGACGCCCCTGCGATCAACTTCCAAGAAACCTCGACTCCCAACTCAGCTCCATCACCTTCCACTTCAAGGGGTGGAAGGATAGTTCCAGTGAATCCTGGGCTATCTGAGACTCTGTCCAATCTGAAAGGGGCCTCGAAATATCCTCTTAGAACATCGCTTCGTACTAAACCAGAACGAGGCGAAGTGATCACGAACTCCTTCCAGATGAGGATCAATGAAAAAGCAGTCTTCGCCGAGTATCGCATTCTTGGCATACCAGTATCTGAATCACGGGCTGGGAAGAAACGTTACATGGAGACCGCCATCCAAAACGTACCCTTCCTAAACAACAATCGTCGGAACTTTGCAACTGACAACGCCGACACCATCATTTCTTGGGTGAATCTACACCAGTATGCGGGCGCTCACGTTATGATCGGTCATCCGACTACTGCTGTTGGAGCCATATACCGACTGGTGGACATCGTTGATCGAAACACTACTGCGCAGCTCAGCTTAGAGTACAAGAGACGGATTGATTTTGCCGACTTACGGTCCTACGCAAACACGTCGCACGCTGATCCGTCCAACTACGATCCGAGCGCAGAAGAGTATGCGCTCAATACCATCATGTCCAAATGCATTGTGCACGACAATACTACTTTGCATCTGAACAACCACAAGTTCTATGTCCGCAATGCCTTCCGAGATCTGGTAACATCTGGACAGGGAGCTATTGCGCCTCTTAGATCCTTGCGTGGCTATTCCTACAGGGTACACGCGACCATGGGTAACATTCTTCTCAACATCAGTCCAGCCAACAGCGCGTTTTGGAGACCTTTGATGGTCAGTGAAGTTTTGCAACATGGCCGCGGAACTTTCGGCGGAGATATCGAGGAGGCGAAGCGAGCACTCAAGAACGTCAGGGTCTATGTCGTCTACCATCGCGACAGCAAGGACAATAGATGCAAGCACCCCAGGTGTGGAAACCGCGCCAATTGTACAGCAAATAACAGGGCCAACCTACCCAGCCTCGACGATCAGCATGCGAGACTAAAGACAATCTGTGGCTTTGGGCTGGCATGCAACCAAGAAACCTTCACGTGGGAACACAAAGACGCGCAAGGAAATGCCATCGCAGCGCATCGCATTAATGTTACTGTCGAAAGGTACCAGTACCAACGTAAGTACAGCTCTCATCGCGTATATAATTAGGGGCTAACCACATGACAGAATACGGACGGACGTTGCGACATCCTGGCTCGCCTGCGGTGAACGTTGGCACCAATCTAGCACCTACTTGGTTTGCCCCAGAGGATCTTCGCATCGTTCCAGATCAGATTTATGCAAAGATCATACCTGACGCAGTAGCAACCGATTTCCACAATGACGCCTGCAGGCCGCCTGCTGTTATCCGATCACGCGTTGAACGAGAAGCACTCTCTCGCATTCCAATCACTCAAGTTGAAGGCCTCGTAAGTTACCGGCCCCCTCAAGAGTTTGCGAAGCTATCCTAACAGCATTCAGGTCCACTGTCCACACATACGCATGAGCCCTCACATGATCCAGATACCCTCCGTTCGCCTGCCTTTCCCAGCAATATTGTATCAAGGCAACGCTACCAACAAAGTCGTGGATCAGCGCTCTGGCAGATGGAACCTCCAAAACGCTAAGTTTCTACAACGCAAGGCTGGCAACGTTTCATGGAAGCTTATAGCGGGACCAAACGTTGACCCTAGAGGTGACTCAGTGAGGCGCGTGGAAACGCATTTCAACGCAGCACTGAGACAATATGGGGTGGCGCTGAACAGCCGAATGGAAGGTCAGCCGCTGAATTTGTCGAATGCTACAGAGGATGATCTGTCCCACACCATTCGTGTCTACCTCCAAAGCCGGCAGGATCAACAACAGCCAGTACCAGACATCTTTGTCTTGCTACTGAGCCAAAAGGACCAAAATCTTTATTCCAACTTCAAGTACCTGGCCGACAAAGTCTACGTTCTTCAATCGATTTGCATGATCGAGGCCAACACGAAGGGCAACGGTATCGCACAGTATATGGCCAACATAGCCATGAAAGCAAACCTCAAGATGGCAGGCATCAATCATTCCACACCGGGCCTAGACAAGGATCTCAGTAACACCTTGATTCTAGGTGCCGACTGCACACATCCAGGTAGCGGAGCGCTAGCGGGCAGCCCTTCCGTTGCTGCTGTTGTCGGATCATTGGAGGCAAATGGGGGCAGGTTTCGTGGAAAACTCAAGCTACAACGACCCAAAGAAGAGGTCTGTCTTATGCTGCAATAACCTTCTTACCTTCGCTAGCTGACTGTCGTTTCAGATTATCCATGGCTTGGGAGATTTCCTCGCCGACCACTTTACCGCTTGGTACAACTTTCATGGGAAGTTTCCTGAGAAAGTACTCTACTATCGTGACGGTGTCAGTACCTCACAATACGATGACGTCGTTGACGTGGAGCTCGCAGGTATCGAAGAAGCTTTCGACAATTTGGTCGAAGCCCAGAAAGGCGTGGACGTCAAGCCGTTGAAGATCACAGCAGTCATCGTCACCAAGCGACACAGTACCCGTTTCTTTCCTCGCCAAAAGAACGATGAGATGACAAACGGCAACTGCAAACCCGGACTCCTCGTGGATCGCTCCATAACGTCACCGTACTACACCGACTTCTACCTTCAATCACACAACGCCATCAAGGGGACCGCACGTTCTGCTCACTATATGGTGATTAGGAACGATATGGGAATGTCAACCGACCAGCTGGAAGATCTGGTAAGTCTTACAGATGAGCGTAGGGATATTGCTAACAAAGAGGTACAGACGCACAAACTGAATTACACCTACGTCCGAGCTACACTAGGTGTATCCTACGCGGCACCCGCCTACTATGCAGACCGCCTTTGTGAGCGGGCGCGCTGTTACCTACGCAGATATTACGTCCCCAACAACGCCGCGCGCTCAGCCACCGGAAATCAGCTCCGTAACGTGGAAA